CCCCAAGCCGTACGTGTGCGTGGAGTGCGGGAAGGGCTTCGGGCACGGGGCCGGGCTCCTGGCCCACCAGCGCGCCCAGCACGGGGACGGGCTCGGGGCGGCGGGGGGCGAGGAGCCCGCGCACATCTGCGTGGAGTGCGGCGAGGGCTTCGTGCAGGGCGCCGCGCTGCGGAGACACAAGAAGGTCCACGCCGTGGGCGCGCCCTCGGTCTGCAGCCGCTGCGGACAGAGCTACTACCGGGCCGGCGGGGAGGACGAGGACGAAGACGAGGCGGCCGGCCGGTGCAGCGAGTGCCGCGGCGGGGAGGGCCGGTAGGGGCGGGGGCCCGGGGGGGCAGGGCCCCTCGGGCTTGGCGGGGACGACGGCAGGACCCAGAGACCCGGGGAGACGTGGACAGAGGGGTGCTGCGGGCCGGCGGCGGCGTCGCGGGCTCCCTCCCCTCCCCGGGCGCGCGGTCCGCGGGGCGCGGGGGGCCTGGGGGAGGGGCGCGGGGCAGCTCCCTCGGCGCCCAGGCCACGCCCGCCCGCGTCCCGCCCCCGCCCTGCGCCGGGCCTGCCCCTTGTAGGTTCTCGGCCGAGCCCGAGATAGACAATGTGTGACTAGACAGACCAAGACACGACAGAACCCACGGGCGAAAGCCCTTTTTGCCTCTTTCTCTTCCCCCACCGGCTGGGGGAGTTGCGAGGATGGAGAGAAATCGGGCCTTTTCCGTTTAGAGAGGCCCCAGAGAGGGAAGGGAAAGGGGTCCTTTTCCCTTTTAGAGTTTTCTTTTAATCCTACCCGCCCCCTGACCCCTCCCACCCGTTGTGTTTTCTCTTCTCCCCCGCGGGTCCCATGGTTTTTCCTCGCCCAAGCCCTTCCTCCCGCTCCTGGATCTGGGGTAGCGGAGCAGTGATGGAGCAGAACTCGCCCCTGTTACAAGCGTGCCCCTCAGAGAATGGGGTGCCCGTCTCTCGTTCCTAGCCTGGGCGCGGTAGGAGAGGGGCCGGGGGAAATAAATGGCACTATCCGATTGTCCCTGCTGTGCGTGGTTCTTGAGTTCGGAGGGAGATGGGCAAGAGCGTACACGGAGGGATTCCCGCCAGCGGGCGCTGCGGAGGGGACACCGGCCGAGGGCCCGGCCCACGGACAGAGGCAGCGGCCCCAGCGGCTGTCCGAGTCCACACCCACACCTGGGTGCAGACCGGGCTGTTGTCCTGGAAGAGTGACCTGACCAGGTCGCCGCAGTGGGCTCTGGGCCCCAGAGGGCTGGCTGTCACGTGTCCAGGCTTGTGAGGAACTGGGGCCGGTTGTTTAGAGTAAGACCAGCTTACTGCAGCTTTTCAAAGGAATCCCACAGCCTGGGAGGATTAACACAGGTCGTTCCGGGCTCGTGGGACAGCGGCAAGTAGCTTTCCTCCACACAGCGAGTGAGGGGCCCACGCTTCTATCCGTGGCGTCCTCCACCAGCCCCTGAAGCCCTTGCCTGCATCCAGCTTCTTGGAAGACTTGGCCTGGAAATGCGCAGTCTCCCCTGCTCACACGCCACTAAGGGGGGCGGAGCAACCACAGGGTCACAACCCCCCGCGGAGGAGGCTGGAAATGTCGCTGGCAGGGCTGCTACTTCTCAGCGACAGAACTGTACTGTGGAGGGAGGAAGAGGGACTTTGGGGGGCAGACAGTTGTCCCTGCTACAGGTGTCTAACCAGAGGAGCCAGCTGAGGGGCTAGGGGGTGAGGACAAGGATTTTGACAGTTGTCAGGTGCTTCCTATAGGCGCTGCTATGTGCCTCATGGACACAGTCTTACAGCATCTGTGTCGCAGTCCTGTGAGGTGAGGGCTGCCAATGGTTGTTCATCAGGATGGGGCCCTGTGATGCCAATTCCAGCGTCCTGGGCCCCACAGCCAGAGTCCTGGAGACCCGTGTCCCTGGGATCTGGGGAGGCTGCGGTGGGCTGTCCTGTGGGAGAAGGAGCCCCGCCAAGGGGTATGCGTTTTCACCCTGCCTGGGCAGCCATGATTTTGCTGAAGAAGGTTGGAGGAGGGGACCCCATGTTCCCTTTACCTCCGCAGGAAAAGAGAGGGGTTAATGGCAGGGAGGGAGTTGGAGGCGAAAGCGAGATTTCTAGTTCCAGCCCTGAACCTGCCACCGGGGGCTCTGCTATCCTTGAGCAGATCACTCCCACCTCGGAGCCTCAGGTCGTCATGTGGAGAATGAGGGGCTCAAAACCAAGGTCATGGCTGGCCACCTGGCGGGCGGGGGCGTGACTCCCTGGGAGAATTTATTAGAGCGTCTTGGGTATGACTAGGTCAGAAAAGCATGTTCTCAAGTGGCTATCGCCTGGCTTGGAAATCGGTTGACATGGTTCAGTTTATTCTGGGTCTCAGATCACTTCAAAGGAGGGAGGGAGGAAGGGGCGAATCTGTTTGTCCCGAGAGGGCACGGTCAGCAAAGAGACATTGCCCAGTGCCTGCCGGCCCCCTCTGTCCAGCGCTGACCTTGAGGGCTATCGGAGGCGGGGGAGAGGGAGGGAGGGGGAGGAGGAGTTGTGGGAGCCTGGTGGGAGGTGCCCTGTCACTTGGAAGCAAGTGGTTGGTTTCTTGCACCAGCCCAGAATGGAGCCTGCTCTCACGCCTTCTGCGTCCTCTCCCTACCTCAGAAGGCGGTGGCAGGAGCTCACACTCCGGGCAAGAAAGATTTAGGGCCAGTTTCCACTCTGCCATATTTAGGCTCCGTGACCCCAGGCAAGCGAACTAACCCCTCTGACCCTCCGGTTCCTCCTCTGTGCAAAGAAGAGCATTCCTGTGTCACATGACTGTTTCAAGGGATACCCCGGGGTGTCTGTACGAGCCTGGTGCTCAGTCACTGACAGCTAATGCCTTTCCCAGGAAGGAGTGTAATGCAGCTTAGGAGCCGGGGCTCAAATCTCAGCTCCGCCAGGGAGCGATACTCACCGTCTCTGAACCTCAGTTTACCTCACTTAATATAGGGATTTACTTTGCTTAATAAATAGTATACAATTCAATGAGCTAACATGACCATGTACTTAGACGAATGTCCCTTAGTTATTGTTAGTTAATATTATCATTACTGATGTCCTGATGCTTTCCAGAAAGACTGGAGTGAGACTGTAGAGATGTATGTTTACCCACAATGTCACAAACAATTATACACGATGATAGCAATAATAATAATAGTTCATGCTCCTGGAGTATTTACCATGTGTCAGGCACTATTCTCAGCCCTGTATGTAGATTAACTCATCCACGCCTCCCAACTTTTACTATCTGTCTCCATTTATGCATGGGGAAGCCAAGCAACAGGGAGGTTGATTAACTTGCCCCAAGTCACACAGCTGGTATGTGGAGCTGGGCTCTAAACTGACCTCCCGGCCTCAGAGCCCGCCCTCTCAGTCCCCATGATAGGCTGCCCATCCAGCCTGTGCTGTGTTGCAGGGCTCGAATTAAATGTTTCTTCATCCCAGGAAACTGCTCATACACATCACCCTTGTGTATTTGTTTCACACACAGGTACCATCAGACATTAACACTGGTGAGGGTGTGCGCATGGGGAGAACTGACGCCCTGCAGGAAGTAGATGAGGCTCTCTCAACTAAAGCACTAGTGACAGTAGGGGCTGGACCATTCTTTGGTGTGGGGCCATCTTGTGCACTGTAGGATGTTGGGCAGCATCCCTGGCCTCCACCCACTAGATGCCAGGAGCACCCCTCCTCCACCAGTGACAACCAAACATGTCTCCAGACACTGCCCAGTGTCCTCTGGGTGAGGGGCAAAATCGCCCCCATTGAGAACCACTGAATTAAATGGAAGGAGCGCCTACAGCCCTTGGCAGCTTTCTCTTCTCAGGGCATGAACACTCCCCCTTCTTTCCTGCAGCAAAGCTGCCTTTCCTGGCCCCTCTACCACGTGGCTGCCTTCCTGGCTTCGTCTCGTGGTGGCTCCGCTGTGTTTCTGTCCTCCTGGCCTAAAAGTTTTGTCTGTGAACCTCAAGCTCAGATTCTCCCAGGGGCTCAGGTGGGCGATGGGAACGAGCGAGGTGATCAGGGAGGCAGTCAATCTGCAGTGGGCAGCTGCTACTTGGCCCAGCCAACTCCGCCCGGGGGACTGTGGACCTGGCCCTGCCAGGTCTTCTGATTTTCCAGGAGAGATCTGAAATTAGGAATTTTTTTTAAAATGGGAAATCCCCCCCCCCTTTTTTTTGGTGAGGAAGATTAGCCCTGAGCTAACACCTGTTGCCAATCTTCCTCTTTTTGCTGAGGAAGATTGGCCCTGGGCTAACATCCGTGCCCATCTTCCTCTACTTTATAGGGGATGCTGCCACAGCATGGCTTGACAAGCGGTGTGTTGGTCTACACCCGCGAGCGAACCTGAGAACCTGGGCTGCCAAAGCAGAGCGGGAGCGCTTAACCGCTGTGCCACAGGGCCTGTCCCCCGAAACAATTTTTTTTAGTGTGGGCAACTGACACAAAAACTTTTTAAAGCCCCGAGTGAACCCACCTAAACACATCTGTGGCCGATTTTGGTCTATGGGCCTCCAGTGTCCAATTCTCTTTTTAGCACTGATTAAAGAGAATTAAGTTCTCACCAAAAAAAAAAAAAAAAAAAAAAAAAAAATATATGAGGTGATGGATGTGTTAATTATTAGTTAGATAGGGGGCATCCTTTCATGATGTATACATATATCCAATCACCATGATGTACACTTTAAATGTCTTATAATTTCTCAAGGATACCTCAATAAAGCTGAAAAAAAAATAAAGAGAGAATTAAGGTTTTGGAAGCCCACATTAGTAACCTTTGTCTCCTTTTCATGATCTTGAGCCGGAATTTTGAATTGGAAGATATTACATTAAAAATCTGGATTTCTGTTCCTTTTTTTCCCTCCCAAAGACCCAGGGTCTTTGGGAGGGAAAATATAGAAATAGGGAAAATATAGAATATACAACCATATGCATGGTTGTATATTCTAGTTGTAAGTCCTTCTAGTTCTTCTATGTGAGCCGCCACCGTAGCGTGGCAACTGACAGACGAGTGGTGTGGTTCTGGCCCTGGGAACCAAACCCAGGCCGCTGAAGTGGAGCGTGCCGAAATTTAACCGCTAGGCCATCAGGGCTGGCTCAAAAATCTGGATTTCTGGTGTCTCTTGGGATAATCAGAAGTTCTGGCAACACTGGGGCTTCGTGTTGTATGAAACAGTTGGCTGGAGGGATGTGTGAGTGTGTGTGTGTGTGTGTGTGTGTGTATATCTGTGTGTGACCTTCAGAGTCAGACATGCACCCCCAAACCCAGAGGCAGGGAAATCTATTGTGCTTGGTTACAGGACCCCAAAGCAGGGTCTTTACAACTTACAGACCCAATACATTGGGGTTTTCCCTTTCAGCTGGTGGAGTTGGTTCCGGAGGGTAAACTGTGGGATAGAGTGGACTGTGGCATAAACACTCCGAATTGCAATAGGGGAAGACTGTAGGGCCCTACGATGCCCAAGGGGTCTGCCAATGAACCAGGTCAAGAAAGAATGTGTCCGATTGTCCCCCAAGAACTTGTTAAGATGCAGGTTCCAGGGCAGACTCCGTCCTCTGCATTCTGATTCTGTAAGTCGAGGGTGGAGCCTGAGAATGTGCCTGTTAGTGAGCTTTTCAGGTGATTTTGACGACCGCCCTGGTGTGGAAGCCACCTGCTCCAGAATAAATTCAGGATGGAGAGGTGAGCCCAGACAGTTCCTTCTCCGCTTGGGAAGGCAGAGAAAAGGAGGGAACAGCTGCTCTGCGTGTGGGCCGGCTGGTCTTGAGCTTTGATGGGCCCAGGATGTAGGGGGCATCGCTGAGCAGGCGGATGCCTGGGAGCCCCCCAGGAATTCTCATTCAGTGCCCCTGCAACAGGGCTCCATCGTCTGCATGTAGAGCAAGCACTGGAAGCCTGGTTGAACTGGTGGACTTCTGCCGTCACGTCACGTTGTGCATTTTATCCATTTGTTCGTGCACACGTGTGTTCATTCACTCACCCCTTCACTTACTCCT